GGTAAAATAGTCTCTACTATCATTTATGCCGGGGCATAAATTCTGACCTAAAGGGTTTCACAGAGAAGAAATTATTGTCTGGAAAGCAAAGCTCTGCACCTCGCCCTTGCGAAGGTAGGAGGAGTTTTCAAGTAAAAATAATAATCCCCTGATGAATCGAAGCATCCTCTAATGAAACCCTCTCCTTTTCAAGTTAGGGTGGGGGTAAGCCCGAGCTTTGAGTACCCTTGACCACTGTTATCCCAACATAAGTCAGTAGTCAAACTCTTCTCTGACTCCCAGTCCAATGAACTCTCACTTGATGAGTCAAAGTTGTTCCCCTCCCTATCTATACCTGCTTCCGTTGTCTAAAAGCAACGTTGAATTAACCTTTTCAGTTTTACCCCAGCTCAGAATTCCGGCCCTTGGACCTGACAAGCTTCACAGTACAGGTCCACCTACCGTGGGCGTCAACTTGCTCAAGCCACTCGGAAGTGACGTGTAGGAAACGGAAGAGTTGCCGTGACTGTCGACTTCCTGTTCCTAAGGGCGGGGGGGTGGGGGGCAGCTACTCAGTGCGATTGTGTGGGGCGGCCTGGGGCGGCCTGGGGCAGCCCGGCAGCGGCTGAGCCTGTGCCTGTGGGGACGGGAGTCGCAAGGCGGCCGCCATGGCGGTGTCGGAAAGCCAGCTCAAGAAAATGGTGTCCAAGGTGAGGCCACCGCGTGCTCGCAGCCCTGCGCGCGCCCTCCAGTTCCCTCCCGCCTGGCTCGGCTCGGCTCTGCTCGGCCCAGCGAGCGCCTCGGGCGGCTCGGAAACCCCACTGCCGTCCTTGGTAGCTTTGGGGACCAACCCTCCAGCCCTGAGGCGCTTGTCGCTTTGCGCCGGAAGCCCTGATTCGGGGGCGGGCAAGGTGGGGGGCGGTGTCTGTCTACAAAGGCGCGGAGCGGAGGCCGCTCTCTCTTCGGGAGTTTGGAGCTATCTGTGGGGTAGTATTGTCAGTTTTTTTAAACACGAAGAGGGAATCCTACTTAGTTCTCGATTTGGGACATTCGTCCTTCGCTACTGTCCGGAAGTAAAAATCCGGCCCTTCCCTCAGCGGCCCTCCGAGAATGTGGCCTTTTGGGTTTTGTAATACCCACTGCTTCCCGACCCTTGGGAGTTCAGTAATTGGTTGAATTGACTCAGTTCTAAGTAGAAACTTCCACAGAGGCAAAATGCCAGTACTTCTTTGCTACAGGTGAAATAAGAATAGTTCCATAACTATTTCAGGGACATCGTTTTGCTTAGAGTAGTTGTGAAGTGCTGTGGAGCCGGTCTCGACTCAAAGTGACCCTGTGTAGGGTTCCTGAGGCTTTCAATTTAAATATTTTACTTGCGGGAGCAGAAAATCTCCTCGTTCTCCCGCAGAGCGGCTGGTGGGCTCGAACCATAAACCTTATGGTTCACAGGCTACTGCTTATTCTATGGAGCCATCTTGCGCCCTTACTAAGAGTTGTTTGTTCTTAAGTGCTGTCGAGTAATTACCATATTAATTGTGTACTTTGTATTGTTGTTGTTAAGTGCCGTTGAGTCGGTTCCGACCCATAGCGACCCTGTACAGGGTTTCCTAGGGTGTAAATCTTTCCGGGAGTAGAAAGCCTCCTCTTTCTCCCGCGGAGTGGCTGGTAGTTTCAAACCGCTGACCCTAAGGTTCGCAGCCCGATTCGTAACCACTACGCTACCAGAGCTCCTTTGTATTAGGCGTGTATATTTGCTTTGAGTTTACACCCCTCAAAATTGTAGGCCGATTTTTTGTATATATATATATATATATATATAAAGTAGTTGTTTTGTATTTTAAAGCCATGATTTATTTGAGATCATTACTAGTGTGGCACCTGACATCAGACAGTGGAAATTTTTTTGGTTTGTTTTTAACAAAAGCTAATTGGAATAGATTATATGTGCAGTCTTTTGAAAGTTAAATCATCTTCAGTTCAACTTGTTAGCCTTGGGTACTTTTTTCAGAACAAAAGTGGTAGAAATCAAAATAGTTTAAGCAAATTTCTCTGAAAACTATACATTTACTCCCCAGTAAAATCGTTACTAGTCTTTGGTTGAAGAGCAAATAATTTCTAAGGAGAGAGACTGTGTTTGAAATAAATCATCTCTTAGTTGTATAGTCACCTCTTGCTTCTTGGTTAAGTAGTTGTCTTCATTGTGGAGTAGGTTTTGTGGCGTGCCGGGTTGTGTCCCAGTTAAAAGTCCGTGTAGTTATTTTTATACATTGAGTTAAAATACACAAACATACTATGTAACTGCAGAGTGTCTATTTTTTATCTTTAAATTGATAGTATTAACTCACTGCCATCCAGTCGATAGGGACTCATAGTGACCTTTTATAGAACATCTGAGATTGTCACTCTCTGGGAGGAGAAAGCTTCATTTTTCTTCAGTGGAGCATTGTTGTTGTTAAGTGCCTTCCAGTCGGTTCCGACCCATAGCGACCCTGTACAGGGTTTCCGAGGGTGTGAATCCTTACGGGAGTAGAAAGCCTCATCTTTCTCCCGCGGAGCGGCTGATTGTTTCAAACCGCTGACCTTAAGGTTCGCAGCCCGATTCGTAACCACTATACTACCAGAGCTCCTTGGAGCATTAGGTGGATTTAAACTGCTAACCTTGTGGTTGTCATTAAGTGCCGTCAAGTCAATTCCGACCCATAGCGACTCTGTATAGGGTTTCCAAGGAGTAGCTGTTGAGCTTGAACTGCCAACCTTGCAGTTCTTGGCTTTGTAGTCTTGTGCATTAACCCACAGCGCCTCACCAGGACTCCCGACCTTGTTTTATTTCTTAATATAGATATCAGGTTTGAACATTAAAAAAAACTTGATTGATTGCCTGTTTCTAAGTACAGTGGATTTATTTCTCAATTATTTTCATTTTAAAGGCATTTGTTGTTTTTAAGTGCCCTCAAGTTGATTCACTGTGACCCTGTACAGAGTTTCTGAAGAGCAGCTTGTAGATTTGAACCACCAACCTGTGGTTCCCAGTCTGTTGTTTACCCTACAATGCCACACCAGAAATTCAAAAGAGGGCTAAAAGCTGCTTGCTGTTGTCAAGTCTCAGAGAGTTGGTTCTGACTCATAGCACCATGTATACGGTTTCCAAGGAATGGCTGGTGGGTTTGAACCGCTGGCCTTGCAGTTCAAATTGACCTTGTAGTTCAGTGCATTGTCCTGCAGCGCCACACCAGGCAGTTAAAACCCAAGGAACAGGAAAAGGCATATAGTAAACATTGAAAATCTCCTCCCCCTACTCCCAATCTCAGTAACTAGTTTAGCCATTTTATAGTACTTAGGTACATATGTATATTCCAGCTTTTATTTTTTTTAGACGTCTATACAAAAGTAGAATCATGCTTTTCATATTCAAGTGGATTTTCCTTTTCATTCAGTAGTATGTGTGAGGGAGTTTCAAAAAGTTCGAGGAAAAATGGAATTGAAAGATACTGGGAAATTTTCATAAACTTTTTGAAGCCCTTTGATGTAACACAAAAGTCCTTTGATATTTGTTGTTAAGTGCCATTTAGTCAGTTTCCTCTCATAGCAACCCTGTATAGCGTTTCTGAGGAGCGATTGGCGACCTTCAACCACTGAGCTTGTGGTTCAAACCAACCTTGCAGTCCAGAGCACTAACCCACAGTATCACACCAGGGATCTTTTGATAGTAGGCATGCAGATGTACCTGTTCTATTAAATGGCTACATAATGTTTATGGTAGTTGTTACTCCTGTTAGGTGCCCTGAGTCAGTTACAACTCATAGCAGCCCTAGGTACAACAGAACAAAACACTGCCTATTCCAGCACCATCCTCACAGTCTTTACTATGTTTATGGTTTGTTGTTGTTGGTAAGTGCCATTGAGTCAGTTCTGATTCAAAGTGACCCTGTATATGGTTCCCGAGGAGCATCTGGTGAGTTTGAACCATAGACCTTGTAGTTCAAACCAACCTTGCAGTCCAGTGGCTTGTTGTTGTTGTTAGGTGCTATCGAGTCAGTACCGACCCTTAGCGACCTTATGCTCAGCAGAACTAAGCACTGTCCAATCCTGGGCCAACCTCACTACTTTTGCCACGCTTGAGTCCATCAGTGCTGCCACTTGGCCAATCCATCTCATTGGGGATCTTTTTCTCTGACCTTCCACCTTAACAAACATGATATCCTTCTGCAGTGACTGGCCTTCCTGACAGTATGTCCGAAGTATGAGATAGGAAGTTTGGCCATCTTGGCCTCCAAGGAGAACTCTGGTTGCTCTTCCAAATTGAATCTATTGGTTCTTTTGGCAGCACATGGCACTTTCAATATTCTCCTCCCAGCACCATAACTCAAAAGCATCGCTTCTTCTACTGTGTTCCTTATTCACTGTCCAGCTTTCGCATGCATGTAAGTAAGGTTATTGAAAATACCATGGCTCGGGTCAGGCACACCGTAGTCTTCAAGCTGACGTCTTTGCTCTTCAACACTTTAAAAAGGTCTTGTGCAGCAGATTTGCCTAATGCAATACGTCCTTTGATTTCTTGACTGCTGCTTCCGTGAGTGTTGATAGTTGACCCAAGAAGAATGAAGTCCTTGACAACTTCAATCCTTTATCCCTTCATAAGAATGTTGTTTATTGGTCCACTGGTGAGGATTTTTGTTTTCTTGACATTGAGCTGTAATCCATACCGAAGGCTGTGCTCTTTGATCTTCATCAGTAAATGTTTTAAATCCTCTCACTTTCATCAAGCAAGGTTGTATCATCTGCATATCGCAGGTTGTTAATGAGTCTTCCTTATATCCTGATGCCACTTTTTTTTTTCCTATAACCCAGCTTCTCGGATTATTTGCTCAGCATACAGGTTGAATAAGCATGGTGAAAGAATACAACCTTTTCGCACACCTTTTTTAATTTTAAACCATTCAGTGTTCCCATGTTCTGTTCGAACAACTGCCTCTTGCTCCAGGTACAGATTCCTCATGAGCACAATTAAGTGTTCCAGAATACTCATACAATGTTGTCCATAGCTTGTCATGTTCCACACAATCAAAAGCCTTTGTGTAGTCAATGTTGTTGTTGTCAGGTGTCATTGAGTCGGAACCGACTCATAGCGAATGCACAGCAGAATGAAACAATGTCTAATCCTGGGCTAACCTCACTACCGCTGCCAC